CCTAAGATTTGGGAAGAAGAAAGCAATTCCTTCCCTTTGATCTTCTGACATCCACCCAGGTTACATTTGCAAACCTTTCTCCGGCTAAAAGTGTGGATTTGATCCATGTTTTGGGAATGTGGCCCAATGGGGTCAATGGTGAGGAGCTGCTGGAGAAGGTGGGCTTGTGCCTATGCAAGATCCTCATGCAGGCCTTAGCCCTGGTATTACCCACATCAGCAGCTTCAATGCACCAACCCTGTGATTTCCTTATTCCTGGATCATTTCTAACTTGTAGTTAGTTGGTTTAAAGCAGCCAACCTTCAGTCTGGGAGTTCCTGTGAAAAACACATGGATTCCTGTACGATTCCTGTACCTTCCCTGCTCCCAGCTGCTTTTAGAAGCTGGCTTTACTTTAACACATATTAAAGGAAAGAGCTTTTTCCCTTCCCAGTAGATTAAGTTTGGCTAAACAATTCAGTGTGAACTGCTGGGCATGAGGCAGAAACCTGTAGGCTAAATTACGCAGCTGCTCCAAGTTTAGACCAGCATGGGATGAATTTCAGGATCGTATATTAGTTTTCATTTAATCTGATTATTCTAGGCTGGAGTTCCTGGAGGGTCTTCAGGTTATTGTCACTCAAAAGGATCTTTAAAAGCTTCCATTTGCACTCAGCTTTTCCCATTAGAAGTCTATTTTCATTGTGGATCGATTCTTATTTTAATGAAAAAAATCATCCTCCCAACCTCCTGCCTTTTCTTTCCCCCCAGCTGGGGTTAAAACCGAAGCCACAACAGGGTCTTGCCACTCAAAATACCATTTTCCTCCTTTCCTGAGGGCTCTTGGCTTGGTTGAAGGAGCTTGGGCAGGCAATGAGGGGGTAGATATGCCCAAAGGCAGCTACTCTGCTCCCAGTGATGCTTCCTGGTACCTGCCTCATTCTCCTCACTGGGAAAACACTCAAAGTGGCTCGAATCCTGGGGGGATTCCTAGCTCTGAAGTCTCAGAGACTAATGCAGGACTAATTGATCTTAAAAGCCTGTTGCTGGATGGCTCCGAGTCACGCTGTCAATTCAATGGTTGGTTTCTGTCTGCTGCCTCCTCCCAGATTCCAGTTTGGAGAGCAGCACAGCCTGGCATGGGGTCCAATGGGAGCTGCCCCCCTTGGAATGGGAAGGGAACAGACCCCACGGTTTGTGCTGTGAGGACACCCTTGTCAGGTCTGGTTTTTGCACAGGAGTGGCAGCTTTGTGCCTTCAGGCTTCCTGGTGATGCTGAGCTGAAGGCACCTCCCTGGAGCATCCGTTCCGCCTTGGCCCATTGCTCCAAAGGGCTGGGAACCCACCCCAAGACTGGGGTAGATAAAAACCACTATGGAGACATCAACAAATAAACCCCAAACCCTTTATTTATGTAGGATTTACATTGGCTGTGCCAGCCTGAACCTTCTGGAGCCCATGTACCATCCATGCTGCTCTGGTAAGTGATCCCAGCACTGACCCACTGGGGACCAGGACCATGCTAACCTGGTGCTAAGCTCTCCAGGGACATCCATGTCCTGGTACCTTCTAATTCCCTAAAATCCTCCTTTTGCTCATGTTTCTCACACAGGCAGGTAGGGAGGAAGGTGCCAAATCATCCCTGTGTGGATGCTGGGCACGACACAGGTCCCCACCGATGGCATTGGGGTTTTCCATCCTCTTCTGCCTCCTTCTTCCCCCTGCGAGCAGGATGAGGCCTGGCCTTCAATCTTCCACACTCAGTTGGATTTTGCCATGTCCTTCCCATCCCCAAAACACAGGGTTTTCCCCCCATTTCCCGCAGCACAGGCTGGGAGCCTGCTTCCTCCACAGTAGCCACTCCGGATGAGGTTGCACATTGCTGAGCCTTTTCCCTGTGCGTGCCTGTTGCTGGGACAATTGCACTAAAATCACACCACCTGCAAGTGGTTACTTAGAATAATAAATAAGTGATAGATTATCAAATAAAGCATTGGCTTCAGATGAGGTCATCCCAGCCCCGTGTCGTGGGTCTCGGAGGGTTTGCAGCCTGCTTTCCATGGGCTAAATAGCTCTTGTATCAGTCAATAAAAAAACTTGTCGAGATTAAAGAATCAATTAGGTATTAGCCAAAGGGGCAGAAAGCGTAACCCAAACATGCTGATAAAATCCAGTGGGTGATTATGGGAATGGTTCTCATTTCATTTGACTTTGGAAAGGAATAATTGCTCATTATAGAGCATGGAGCGAGCCGAACTGGATCCTTTTCCACGTTTACAGAAGAGGAAATCCCAGTGTTTGCCTGCCGAACACACTTTAGAGCTGAATAGGTATTTTCTGATCCTTACTTTGAGGAGCATCATTTTATCCTTGGAAAAGTGGCCAGGGGAGCTTGGTTGGGTTTTTGTCCCACAGCTTGTCCCATTCCAGTGCATATGTCCAGGATAAGGAGTGATGCTCGCAGGAGAGGCGAGAGGGATGGGACCGAGCATCAGCTCATGGGTATTCAGCTTGTCACGCAACCAAGTAAAATCTGATCAGGTGAAAAAGCATTTAGGGATATATAAATATATGTGTATATATATATTAGAGGGTTTTTCCCCATATTTACCATATGGCCTTCCATTTTCCAGGAACACACATCTGCAGCACCGGCCCCAGCCTGGGCTGGCAGCTCGCGGTCAGGAATTGGGCTGTGCAATGTCACCTTCAGCTAATTCTTGTGAACATTTATTAAGTGTTAGTCTAGTGCAAAGCCTTACCTCATGTTGGGCCCAAAGTAGGGAATACCCACTGCAGGATGGCTCTTTGGGAAGGAACGACTGGAGCATCCTACCCAGCACTGCAGATGCTATGGGGATGTGCAGGGATGAGCAGCAGGATGGGTCACTCTGGTTTTACCTGTGTGTTTCTGCAGAATGGGGCATTCTCCAGATTGTTTTCCAGGGAGGAAAGTTCAAATGAATTATTGCTTTTCTTCCCCCCCCCTCATGTTAAGATGAAATGTTTGGTTTTATAAGGGGAAAAAAGCATGGATTGGATTGTTTCCTTTGTAAGTCCTCCAATACCTAAAGGGGCTAAAAGAAACCTGGAGAGGGGCTTTTGACAAGGGCCTGTAGGAACAGGACAAGGGCAAAGGGCTTTAAACAGACAGGGGAAACTGAGATTAGATATTAGAAAGACATTCTTTACTATGAGGGTGCTGAGGCGCTGGCACAGGGTGCCCAGAGACGCTGTGGCTGCCCCATCCCTGGCAGTGCTCAAGGCCAGGTTGGACACAGGGGGTTGGAGCAAGCTGCTCCAGTGGAAGGGGTCCCTGCCCATGGCAGGGATTGGAGCTGGAGGAGCTTTAAGGTCCCTTCCAACAGGAACCACTCAATTATTCTATGATTTGTGCCTGGAGCTGTTCCTGAAGGGGAAGCAGGATGCTTTCAATTGGACTTTTTAGTCATTTCTACCCCACAAGAAGCTGGAGCAATTCTTCTGGCCGGATCTCACTGCTTGTACTTCTTCCTGACAGATTCCCAGCTGCCTGGCCCTGCCTGGATGCTTCCATATCCTTCACAAAGCATTATTTTTATGGTGTGCGTATAGAGCACACACACAAAGTGCATCACTGCTGGCTGGCAGTGCCTCTCAGCCGGGAATGAGCTGTTTATTACTCCATGCCCTCGCCTTGCAGCTCCCCATGTACATGCATGGGTGGCTGAGGCAGGGAGTTTGGTTTTCCCTGTAGATGTCTTTGTTTTCCCTTCTCACAGGTGATCTACCACCAGGCCATGCTGTGCTGCAGGCAGATTGCCTTGTGTGGGTTGGTTGGAGGAATGTTGGAGAGTTTATCCCAGTGTTTGCTCCATGATGCAGGCGGGCTGGGCAGAGATGCACCATGGCCAAGGCATTGCCTGACCTCTGTTTTTCCATGGAAAAATCGAATAAGAAACAGAAGCCCAAGGGCTAGCTGTCCTATTGGTGTAAAAGCTCTTGTATAAGGTAATTTTCCCATCTAGTGATGGACGGCTGGAGCATCGGGAAGGGAGGAATCCCTCCCGGCGGCTGTGGCGAGGAGTTGGGTTTCAAGTGTAGGGATAAAGAGCCCAATCCTCGCTCGGGGGCTCTGTGCTGCTAATCCTGGTTGATTCTCTGTCTAGCCCAGCCACACACTCTCTCCTAAGCTTCATTCAGTTCATTAACAAGGTCCAGGGTAAAAGACACCTCAGCAGCAGCTGCTGGCTGCGTGGTGCTTGGTGCTGGCACAGCCACATCCTCCTCCAGCCCACAGGAGCAAACTCCATCCTCCCAGAGCGGCTCCGGGTCCATGGGGTTTGGCCCTTTTGGGATTGTTTGAGCTGAGGCCCATGGTGTGTCCCTGCTGCTTGTAAGCTTGGATAAGAGTTGCTTTTAAGACAGTGGTGACAAATGGGAGGGATGGGAGATGGATCCATGTGGTGAGCTCTGGCATCAATGTAGGACACAATGGCTCTTGCACTGGGGGTCTTAAACCTCCCAGTGCAGCACAAGCAACCCCTGGGGTGCTGCCCTGGCAGGGTGCATTGAATTGGCAAATTAATCTTTGTCTCCTAGTCCAAATCTGAGAGCCCTGAAGTGAAGGAAAGTGGGTTCTAAGTGGGGAAGCGGCATCTCCGCACTCTAGGTTATAGATCAGTTTGTTCCCAATGAAGTGTTGAAAGAGGCAAATTCCTTGTATAGAAAAAAACAATAATTAGTCATGATTTATTGTTAATAATATTGAGAGTGCTGAGATAATGAGGCAGATAAATATACTTTGGAAACAAAAGGCCAATCTATAAGGCTGAGTAGAACTGTTCTTATTTCCTGGAAGAAAGTAACTTTTACCTATGCTAAGAAGGTGTTGCTGAACTGTCAATGAATTCAACGGTGACTGAATTTACATGATTTCAGTCTCTGAGATGATCTTGCCTGTTCCCAGACAGCGTGGAGATGCTGCCTGTACCTACAGTGGTTGTAGCACTCTCATACAAAGGCTGTAGCAGCCACATCCCTGCCTGCAAGGGAACACAGCACAGCTGAGCTTTGCCCCTTGAGCAGAGCCCAGAGGCCAGGATCTAACATCAGAAGAGTCAGAAGTTGGGTCAGAAGGCAAGGATGAGAAGCTGTGCTTCTCCCTGTCTCTGGGAATTTGGGAATCACAGCACCACACAGAAACCCTTGCCCTGACACCTCTTTGCATCTTCCCGAAGCCAGAGCCCGCCGCAGCAAGGCTGGATGTGCCGGTCACAGGGCGAGCTCCGGGTCGGCTCCTTGCGACATCCCAGCATCCCTTCCCGCTCCCTCCTGCTCTCTCATTAATTGCGTTTCCCGTCCCTTTGTGAGCAGGAGCGGGCAGCTGTGATGGAGCAGCCATCTGCAGCGCCCGCCCCGGGAAACAGCCTCGCAGCTGCGCGCGCCTGGTACCGGCGGTACCCGGACGAGGTCATTCATCACCAGGAGCCCGGGCAAGGAAGCTTGGCAGGGAAAAGGGAGGATGGCAACCACAGGAGGCAAACCTTATATATACTCTGCCACAGCGGGTGCTGTATCCGCAGCCTCGAAGCTGTTTTCCTCCTGCTGTTACAGAAGGATGGCATGCGTTCCTTGTGTCCCGTGTGGATGGAGCAGCCCCAGTATGCCTCCATCGAGCCTGTCAGAGGGAAGAATGAGCCATGCCCCAGGGCCAGCTCTGTCCCAAGAGCTAGGAATGGGATATGGCAAGGGCATCCCTTCTCAAGAAGCATGGCAACAGGGGATGAGTGTTTAAATCAGCAATGCAGCACATTGGGTTATGTTGGGTGGTGATGGAGGGTGCCTTTCTGGTGCACTCATGGAGGCCTTTCCTTCCCGTCTTTCCCTGCTCTGTAGACTCACGTATGCTAATGGGAAATTACAGAAGAGAGCAAAATACGTGAGTTCAGCCCTACAGGTACTTATGGGCCTCTGACTCTGCTGGCTCTGGTTACGTGAAATGCTGCTGAAGGCTCTGACCCGCTTTCCCCGTTGTCTCTCCTGCAGCAGGTGAAGGTCCCCATCATGGATGGCCTTGGAGCGAGGACACAGTGATGGGGAGCTCATGTTTGCCACCCGCATCCTGCTCCAGCTTCCCCGTTATCACAGACAGTGATGCCCGTAACAGGCTCTTATGGCTCTAGTCTCTTTTCTTGCCCTCCCAGTTCACCAAGAAGAGAGTGGGCACCAGGAGCTGATGAGGAACAGGAGGTGACCACCCCAGAACCCTATCTGCAGGACCCTGGACACAGATGCCACCACCAGACCCATCACTGGACACAACTTTGCTCCTGCAAGCTGGGATGCAGTCACCTTCACGGCAGAAAGAGGTGAGAGCCAGGGGAGCACGGCACAGCCTCAGGGGGGGACAGGGCATGGGGGTGCCCATGTGGAGCAACACGACTCGGTCCAACGATGTGCATCCAGACTGTTTTTCCCTGCGGGATGCCCCGTCTTTCCTGTTTACTTGTTATGCTGGAAATAGAACAGTAAATAATTTATCGCCGATCGGTTGGCGCACGTCCGACCCGTCAGTGAAGTTGATTTTAACTGGCCAAGTGTCAGGGCAAAAGGCCAGGAACGCTGTGCTAGGGAACAGTCAACACCACAATTAGAAGATTAACACCTTGTTTAGTGGTCAGATACTGTCAAGTGGTAAAAGATTGCTCCGGTTCGTCTCTATAGAGCATCGCTCACAAATTACCTTATTAAGCAGGATCCTGCTCGCGGTCGGCTCCCTGCACCTGTGTCCTCAGATATTCCCATTCATGGTGGAGAGGAGGCCGGGGCTGCGCAGCTGCGGGAGCATTATTCCCTCTCCCCATATTTGCATCTCAATGAGGCCCTGATTAATATTTAAAGAGCCAGCTGCCCCAGCCACCTAGGGAAGAGAAAAAGCTCTGTGAGGTTCCTATTTATTTCATTTATTTTTTTTCTTAGGGATAACACTCACTGCCCTTTATCAAGTATCCTTCATTTTTACACACACGCACCCCTCCCCTATTCTTTTATCTACAAGGGAAAAAAATGCCAGGGAAAAAATATGAAACGCCATTAAGGAGTTATCAGTGAGGGAGTTGTGCTGCTCTCAATGCTCCTCAGTCCTTTTGTGCCATAGTTGCAGCTGCATCGAGCAGGTTTTAGGGGCGGGAGCCCAATGCCGGCGCTGTCGGGCACCCATGGGAACGGTGTCAGCGAGCTTGAGGCCTGGGAAATGGGCAGGGATGGGGCTGCCTCTCTGTTACGGGATGTATTTCCATGCTTCCACTATCCCCAGGCTCCTGTCCTGGAGCCATGGCTGGTGGTGATGTCCCTGTGGTCCTGGGAGGGGAGAGGATGCGGCAGTGTTGCAGGATGCTGATGGTGACACATTGGTTAATGAAGAGAAGCAAGACACAAAGTCATGACAGGAGGGGACTGATCAATTGAAATGCCATCAAAAACCTAAGAATTGGTATTTTCAGTGCCTCCCCAGCACTATAAATCACCAGGAGGTTTTGTTTCCAGGCTTAGAAAGTTGTCATTTTAATAGACCCTTCTCTTGCCATTCTTTTTTGCATTGAGCATTTGTCAATAATCCTCCAACAGCGGCAGCTTTGTTATCCCAACTAATTGGAGTCAAGTAGGGCCAAGAGAAGAGATCGTTCCCGACCGAGCCCTGGGAAAAAAAGCAAAGGGATTTTAATTTTCAATAAACTATGCAGATAAGGAGAAATGAGCAGTGGGGAAGGGGGTCTGGAGGCTGCCTGCATAATGGTGCTGCTCAGACAATAGCAGCTTGAGTTGGCTTAAGGGGACTCGAGTGGGTAGCTGGCAATGCAGCAGCTAATTGGGATGGGGGTGCATGGATCTGCACCCCCCACACCTGCACTGTTGAGGATTTTAATGGGTGTTTCTTGGGTGCATGGAGGTGAGTGAGGTGTTTATGTGACCCTTTGTGCCTCGCTGCAGCTGCGGGGGAAATATTTCAGGTCACACTTTGTTATTTTCATATACAAATGAGGGAAATCAGGGCATCTCTTCACAGTGGGGATGGGATCGCTGCGGGATGAAGGAGTGGACCCAGACTCCCTCTGCCTGTGCCGCTGTCCCAGCCTGAGCCCTGCAGTGACCACTGGCTGCTGTGGGTGCGGGTGCATCCCTGGGGGACAGGGATGCCCTATCCCTGGCAGTGTTCAAGGCCAGGTTGGACCGGGCTTGAAGCACCCTGTTCTAGTGGAAGGTGTCCGTGCCCATGGCAGGGGGATGAGCTTTATGGTCCCTCCCAGCCCCAATCATTTTGTGGCTCTGTGATTCTGGCCAGGGCAGGCACAAGTGTTCTGCCACGCTCCCCTGCCCATCGCTGTGTTTTGACCCCGCTGGTGGCAGTTGGTCTCTTCAGCTGGTGCAGCCTCCAGAGAGGAACCAGACAGTTGGGAGGAGAAACAGAAATCCCTCCAGCTTCAGTGGGTGCACAGAGGCTTGGCTGGATTTGCCTCTCCTGCTCCTGCTGCTGGATGCACTGGGAGCGAGGGCAGTTTTGTGGAAGGATGCAGTTTGCATAGGGGTTTTCAAAGTGATGGGATAAAATATTTCCCTGCTGCACTGTAGCCCTTACACTGGAATTCACCCAGGGCTGGAGGCAGGATCCAGCCTATTCCCAGCTCCATCGGCAGAGGACCAGGGGCTGGAGGGGACCATGATCCAGGCTTCCCAGGGCAGTGCAAGTGTTCACACACCGTGTAGACGAGGCCCTCAGTGCCATGGGTTAGTGGTGGCCTTGGCAGTGCTGGAGTAAGGGTTGGACTTGATGACCTGAAAGGTCTTTCCCAACCTGGCTGATTCCATGATTCCAGCCAGGGACCAGGTGTCAGCACAGGGCAAGCACCCTGTGTGCTGCTCTCAGGGTGTCAGTGCCAGCTCCACAGAACCAGCACCCTGCAGAACAGCTCGGTCCTGCCTTTCCCAGCAAATCCGAGCCCCTGTTAGGAGGACTCTGCACAACCAGAGCCTCCCCTCAGCCGTGCCACATCCCACCGCGATGGGCACAGAGGAGAGGGAGCCGTAGGAAGCTGCGGAGCTGCAAGATGCTTCCCGAGGGCAGGATGGAGCCGGCCTCCAGGCCAGCCCCTTCCAGAGATAAGAGCCCCGTGGGGAGGGGACAGCTGAGCTGTCACCTGTTGGGGCTCAGACACTGCAGCTGTGCCCAGGCTGCTTTGAACCCACTGGATTAGGCAGAGGAGAGTGCCCCGCACGCACTTGTGCTCCGCATGCCAATGCCTTCCTCCTCCTCCTCCTCCTCCCCATGCTCTGCTGGCCATGTGGCCGCAGCCTCCCCAGCCCAGTGTCTCCATTCAGCATCCTCCACACCAGCTCCTCGCTCCTCACTGCTGTCCTGGGGCAACCCCAGGGGTGGCAAAGACCCCTTTGGGTGCTGGGGTTGGAGGCCCATGCGCTGGTGGCTGCTGTCCCTGGGTGGGAGCAGCAGGGATCTGCTCTTGGATGGACCGGGTGCAGCGGTAGTGGAGGAGGGAGGAGGTGATGGTGAAAGCATCTTCAGTGTTTGGGACACTGTGTTCAGATTTGCTGAGTTTTGTTCTTCTTACCCAAAACAGATAAAATAAGAATTCCTAGAGAAAAATAACCAACAATATTTTCAACTTTGGGAGAGCAGAATCTGGATGTGGACACAGCCCAGTGCCCAACTGCACAGTGCTTTTCCACTCATGTTCCCTACTTCCCACCATTGCCCTCCCAGGAGTGAGCTGGAGTGGTGGGACTGCATTAACAGGTGAGTGACAACCCCAGGTCTGCAAACATCCTCTGTGTGAGGTGATTGGGGTGGGTTCCTCTTCTGTTGCTTCCAGTTGGGGTGCATTGAGTCCCCCAGTTTGGGTTCTGAAATTCAAACCCATGGAGACAGACAGGCCTGTTCCATGGTTTGCCAGCAGCACCCAAACTGTCTCCATGCCCTCACCGAGCTCAGCACCACGGCAGGACCAAGGTTTGGTCCATGGGGGTGTGTTTCTTGGAGTGCAGGATTTACGCTGGGCTTTAAAAGCAGAGAGGGAACGGTTTGGGTCTGTTTGGGGGGGTTTAAAGCTTTCTTCCCAGCACTGTACTTTTTAAATCACCCAGTTCCACTGTCTGTTCCCCACGCTCATGCTTTTGGTCTATTTAAGAGCAAAAGTGTAACATTAAGGTGATTTATAGCAATCTCTGGAGTGGGAGGGCAGAGACTTGGCTGTTTTTCCCCTTTTCCTCAGGTGAAAGCAAACCTCGAATGTTAACTCACGAGACATTACACCGCCCGCCCCGTCACTCCTTGATTTACAGGCTCCAATTTACGACTTAAACATTATTATTCCACTCACATAGATTTGTTCCCTTGGCCGTTTTAGTGCTTGTGAAAGGTGAGGGGTTTGACAGCTCCTGGAAACAAAAGCCTTTAATATCTCCCCGAGCGAGGCTCTCCCAGGCAAGAAGAGAGATGCCAGGAGGGCTTTTTCCTCCCTGCTCCAGATATTAGTCACTGCAGGCCCGTCTTAAGCAAACAGAGCAGAAAGTTTGCTTGAGATAAGCCAGGACTAATTAGCAAAGTCCGTTCTTGGTGCCTGGAGAATCCCTTGGGATTATCCTCCGTGGAATGCGAGGCTGGGTGTAGAGGATGCCCATCGCCCCCCTGCCGTTTTCAGACCTTCCCAAATCCTTTTGGACACCTTTAGGCTTCTTGGTGGGGACATGGGGGGACTTGGACTGTGCTCTGTGTGGCATTGGGATTATTTTTAATCCCTTTGGTGAAGTATTACCCCCCTTCTCCATCCCCCCCCTAAATGACACCAATGTTTTGGGCCTAAACTGAACTGGCAGCATGTCTTTAAAATATAACATGCATGAAATACCAGGGAGCAAGAAATCTGCTCTTTAAAGCATATGTCGCGCAGTGGCTTGGAGAGCCGGGGGATTAAAACCTTCGTGGAGCTTGGGAAACGATGCCAGAGCCCCTGCTGCACTTCATTAAAGCACATTTTTGACGCAGCTTGCCTTATTCAATAACAATTTAGCTGACCAAGAACTGAATGCAAAGGGACAGGCAGCAGTGCAGCGGGCTCCTGCCTTTGCCTTTCCAGCATTTTTTCACCTCAATTTGCCATCTGCTGCCCCACTGGTTGGAAGGGGACCTGGGTTGTGCGTGGCCCCCCCAAAATGAGGTGGTGTTGGACTCAGGCTGGGCTGAATGCTGAGGTTCCCCCCATATCTCCCCATCAACTTCTCTGCTCAGTCCACAGCCAGAAGCCCCCAAAATGAGTCCTAAAGTCCTAAAAGCTTGCTCTGGTCATGCTTGGATGGG